ATTCCATCAACTATACAGCCCGGAATCACTGCCCAAAGTTTGCTGCCTGCGAATCTGAAAATCGCTGGAAAATCCCAGAAAATTGATCGCATTCTGGAAGAAATTGAGGAAGACCCATGGTTGGGCTGGGTGCGTCATGTGGAGGGGAAGGCAGCCCAGGTGGTCCGGGACTACGGGTCAACCGGACGAAATCAGAATTTGGGATCTGTGGACCTAGTTGTGAGAACTGCGCGACTAGCATAACTTCTGGGATAAATTTGAAATTCTATGATGATGTTTGGGGTGAATTGTTGACATGGATGGGGTCGTCTGGTGATGGGCAATTGACCAGTGTAGATTTCCGATCATGGGGGTGGCTGGAGCTGGATTTTTCGGCGATTTTCAGATTCGCAGGTAGCGAACTTTGGGTAATGATTCCGGGCTATATAGTTGATGGAATTGGAATGTGTTGGTTGCTAATTGAAGGGGAAGGTGAGGGTTGTCGACCGGTGTACAAGTCCGGTGGCTTTGTCGGCCGTAGGTTGCCGGAATTTGGAGGCATTTGGGCAGTTTAGGGGCAAAATAGTTTTTATTTTTTTTATTTTTAATATTTTCATAAATTTTGGACTCATTTGCATTTTTTAAAAAGCTTAGGAGTAAGATTGCAATTTATTCTTTATTTTTCTTTTTTTTTTCTTTTTTGTTTTATTTATATATGAGGGTATATTGATCATTTTACGTTAAAAATATGTGAAAATGACGTTTTCAGCAATGAAACGTTAAAATAAGGGTGAAAATGCCAAAAAATGAAAGGTATGGACATTTTGTAAAATGACATTGAAATGTATGGACGTTTTGTGCTATTTACCCCTAAATCAATCTCTGTAAGACAATACTTAGACTCAAAATTCACTTTATTATTTGTTAACCAATCGTACATTTGCAATGATTTTAATTTGAAATATATTTTCGTGAACACGAGCACACCCTCATAGAGTTCCAAGCAAATCATTTACAAGTACTCAAATTCATGAAACAATAAACCACATTGGAATGCATACTCTAATTTCCAGGAAACCCCCTACTATTAGAGGCAAAAATACAACTTTAAAAAAAAAAATCATACATTTTTGGCAAAAAAATCCAATATTTTCAAATAATATCAAAAAATTCATAAGCCCAAACCCTTAGTTATTGAAACAATGGGAGATGTACATTGTATTAAAAATAAAGAGAAAATCGACTAATTTCTTGTCAAGGTTTCTTTTAGGGGTACTAACTTCTTGCCCTTTTTGATTTTATTTTATACTATAGAAAAAAAAAAAACAGAGAATGAGGAAGAAAACCGTTCGTGGAATGAGGAGAGGTTGTTGTGGAGGTGGGTGTGAGTTATCGTTCATTGGGGTAAAAATTATAGCAAAGGGAGGAAGAGAATGGAAGGAAGACAGAGTGGAAGTGAGGAGGAAGTGGGAGTGGGTTTCGTACGTGATGGTGGGGTGGGGATATTTTGAAATTTTTTTCAACATGTCAAGTTAGAATTTAATGTAGGATATGTAGGGTCCCGTTTGATTGTAAGTGTGGAAAATGAGTGGAAAGAAAATATTTTACTGAGAATTAATTTTTCTAGAAAATGTTTGACTATGAATTGTAATTAATGGAGTTTGATTGGTATAATTTTTCATGAAAAATGTTGAAAGTTTGGTATCCATTTGACTTTGTTTTTTAT